GTGCAGGTGCGTGGCTGGCGGGAAGCATGCATTATGGGGTGCAGGTGCCTAGACTGAAGAGGATTCATGGACTGGGGTGCAGAAGATCAGGTGGGGAGATTCATGAGTTAGGGGATGCAGATGCCTGGGTGGGGTGTATATGTATTAAGAGGTGCAGCTGTGTGGGTGGGGGATGCATACACAACAGGGTGCAGGTGCCTCGGTGGGGGAAGATTCATGGTGTGGGGTGCAGTCACAGGCAGGGAGATGCATGAGTTAGGGGGTGCGGATGCATAGGTGGAGGAGGCAGATGCCTGGGTGGGGGGTTGCATGCATCCCGGGGGGGCAGCTGCTTGGGTGGGGATTGCATGCATTAGGGGGTGAAGATGCCTGGAGCTGGGGGTGCAGCTGCCTGGCTGGGGAGGGATGCCCGAGTTTGGGGGTCCCCAACAGAAAGGATATGGCCATTCGGTGATCTTTTTGGCGTATTTCCTCACCACATTATCCTCGCTGAAGAGGAACAGGGACCGGTTGACAGTCAGGCAGTTCTGCCGGACGGGGATGGGGTTGTAGAGAGCCATGGTGCGGGCTCGCTGGGCCATCGACTGCTTGTACATCCTCTGGGCCCCGGGCGGTCCGCCTTGCCGGCTGCCCCCTGCACCCCGGCCGCCTCCACCGCCCGCCGCGCCCCCGGAGCCAGCTCCCCCGGAGCCGCCAGCCCCGTAGCGACCCGGCACCTCGTCTCCGAAGCGAGCCATCCTGCAAAGAGCAAAGGGCCGGGGGTTACGATGCTGAGGACGCTGCTGGAGAAGAGACGCTGATCACATCCCATCGGCTGCTGCTGCTTGGGGGGCTTGCAGCAGAAGGAGGGGGACTGTTCAGGCAGGAGCACGGCCGGTGAAAGCACCAGAGACCCTGGCCATCCTTCCTCAATCCTCTCTCCTCCCCTCGCAGGGAAGGAACCGATGCGACCCCCACACACACAACCCCCCCCCCCCCAAAAAAAAAATTGCAATGGAAAAATGAATGCACCACCCTGAAAAAAATGGTGCTCTGCAATTAAAAATAACAACTCATCGATGCACCGACCTCACCCAATTTTTTTCCAATTCTAAAAAGACTCATTCACGAGCCACCCCACAAAAAAAGAATTTGCAACCAACAAACACCAAAAACGCAATGCACCGCCAGTCCGAACAAAACCAAGAAAAAAAGCAATTTAAAAAATGTCTCACTCCTAGCAAAGTCAAGAAATAAATCAAAATAATTACAATGACTATAGCAAGGGCAGCACCTCCTCCCTACCAACATTCAATTTAAAACATTGAATGCACCAACTCCTCACTTCAAGCGCCGGGGGGGGGGGGAAGTGCACTACAAAGACAGAAAATGGACCGGCAACTATATATTTGCAATGCAATTGTTGGCAAAAAATCAATTACAACATAAAAACGGCAACCCTTCCTCTGTCCTGTTCAGCTTTGCAAAAATCTTTGCACACTTGAAAACAAATGTAGCCTAACATTGGTTTTTAAAATCAGCGCGTTCCCCTCAACCTCACCCCCCAAAAATATCAGCATCAGGGAAGAAAATAGCAATAATTAAAAAAAAAGCAAAAAAAAAAAAATTCTCTCCCTCCCCCCCACTCCCCACAAGGTCTCTGCTTTCACTTGTGCATCATCCTGCCGTCTTCAAAACGTTGCAAGATCTGGAGAGGAAAAAAAGGCTATTGGGGTCTTGTTAAGCGTCTTAAGATGTAGGCTGGATTTGTTGTTTGTTTGTTTGTTTCCTGTTGCAATTTCACCGGTGGTCTCTGCCTCTGCCTTAGTAGTAGTATTATTATTATTTTGGTGTGAGTGCGTGACTGTCAATTTTGCATCATCTTGGAGTTGAATGCAGCAAAGAAATCCTGTAAAATCCAAAAATGAAAAAGAAGAGAGAAGTCGCAGGTCCCATCCACCATCTACTCATAAGGGTTTCCTGGATGCTGCAATGTCTAGTATTTTTTTCTGCCCTGTATTCCTCCACCTCCTCCTCCTCCTCCTGGGTTATAGCTAAAATAAGACTGGTGTTAGGGAGGGAGGGACTGGGAGAGAGAGAGAGAAAAATGAAAAAAAAAAAGATCTGATTCACTGGCAGGTTGAGCTATAATGTGCAGCAACTGATCAATTTAATGCAAGCACAGACCATCCCAAAGCCTCAGCAACGCTTAGCACATGATGGCCTGGGACCAATCAGTTGCTGCTGCCCAACCTAACCCAGTGGAGTTTCTGGGAGAAGGAGAGAGATTGAGAGAGAGCAAAGGGAGGTTGGGGCAGATTTTTCTCCTCCGCACCCACCTCCAGTTTGGAAAACCTAGAAACAAATTGCAATTTTCCCTAAGTATGCTCCCAGCTGGATTCTGATCTCAATGACACTAGTGTAAATCCACAGGGAATCTCATATGATTTCACTGGAGTGACTGAGGATTCACACTGGGGTAATGGACATCAGAGTCTATTCCTTCGGCTCCATTGCTAGTTTCTTTAGTGCAGGTCTCATGTTTCTTTGGGAGGCTGGCAGGGAAAAGGAGTGAGTTGGTCCTGATTCTCCTCTGACTTTACACCAGTTTTACAACAGTGTAACTAGGAATGACTCCTGATTTACAAGAGTACTGAGCGAGAGGAGAGCCAGAGTGCGCGTGCATATGTGGGATGTAATGCATGTGAGAAGCTAAGCGATCTGTGCAAACTCTAAACAAAACCGACACATTCCTTGAAAGAAAAATAGCTGGGAGGATTCTGTGATCTCAGTTGCATTGGTGTAAATCCGGAGCAACTCCACCGGCCAGATCCTGAGGAGTTTCTGACTCGCATTTTTCCATCTTTATTTGGGCAAATTCACTTCCCCTCCTTTCAGTGGGTGATTGGCCTGAGTAAGTGAGTAATCCTGGAGTAAAGACCTTGGGTTGTGCCCCCCTCTGTTCGGATTTTAAATGAAACCGCTTGGTGGGGTATTTTTAATATAATTTTCTAAGTTACTACGCTGCAGTCTCCTATTACAGCCAGTGGGTCATACCCTGCTCTCAGTGACACCAGAACATACGCACTCCTAAAATGAAGTAAACAAAGTCACTCCAGACACAAACTCCAGCGCAGAGCAGAACCTCATCTCCAGTTATTTGGTTGCTTCCTGCACAGGACTGGGCACGCTTGACTCCCACTGACCCCCATGAGAGTTGAGAGTGCTGAGCACCTCACAGGATTGGGCCCTTTGGGGTTAAATCCTGAGATAGATGTGGAAATATTTATCCAGCTGCAATGAGAAAATGAAGCTAGGGGTATGGCTAGGCTCTGAGTGTTAACAGATCTTCCCTTGACTTGCTCAAGGGGCCATTTAGCTGCCATAAAATTTGCATGGTCCAGGGGGGAGTGGATTATTTTCTGGCATTAAAGACTTCGCTGAACAGGAATCAGCCCCACTGAGGGCCTGACCCTGCCCTCCTTTAGTGAAGCAGAATTCCCACGGAAGGCAATGGGAGTTCTGGCCGAGTGAGGCATGCTGGCCAGACCCCAAATATGAAGTATGTTCACCTCACTTAGAATCATTATTGGTATAGTAACAAATTTCTGGGTGCCTCCAACTCCACAAGTGTCCATATGCTGAAGCAGGTGGCACTGCATGGCGAATGGGGATTGAAAGAACAGCTATTTATCCTAAAGTAATTGTGGTTCTTCAAGATAATGTCGTCCTGTACACAGATTCCACCCCTGGTGCATACGCATAGATTCCTAGATTCCAAGGCCAGAAGGGACCATTGTTCACTCCTGTATGGCACAGGCCAGAGGTCGCCCCAAAATCCTTCGTAGAGCAGATCTTTTAGAAACACATCCCATCTTGATTTAAAATTTGCCAGTGATGAGTCCACCATGACCCTTGGTAAATTGTGCCAGTGGTTAATTACCCTCAGTGGGGGTGGAGAGTCTAGATTAACTAAAATTTACCAAAGGGCTTGTCTAGCCGTGGGAAGAGCCTGCAGTAGCTGGTGCACACTAGGTGCTCCTCACTAACTCCCCCATGTAGACACTCTTACTGCACAATAATATGCCTTTGTGCACATTAGCTGAAACCACCTGAGGGCCCTGTTAGTGCACAGTAGAAGTGTCCACACAGGGAGTTAGTGTGAGTAGCTAGGGTGCTTTATAGTCACATCCTAGCTTAGTGCTCACTAACCTCCCCATATAGACAAGCCCTAATATCTCTATATCAATAGAGATATTTGCCAGTGGGTGTTAAAAATAGATCTACACTAAGTACACTGTCCAGACTATACCCACAATATAAACTACACTATTATAAACAAAGCAGATCACACAGTGTGCAGAGTAAGTGGACACTGCAGGTTTCTGTCTTGATGCCATGGGTGGTTAGAAGGGACTGAAGGATGATGGGTGTCATTTGAGCTGAAGGGGAATCCCCGGTAGCTGTGAGCAGTACAGGGCACATGACACAGCAGTGAGTGGTTCTGACTATCCAATAGTGGGCAGTGATATGCTTATTACAATATAATTATGATCAGTGCTGAGTGTACCATAAAGGATTTATACTTTATACCTTTCGTCAAAGGCTCTGTCTTCACTGCAATCAGAGATGTGACTGCGCAGGTGAAGATGTACTGAGCTAGCTCGAATAATAATAGCAGCGAAGCTGTGGCAGCAGGGGCAGTCGCACGGGCTGTACAACCCCACCTGGGACTCTGGGCGTGTAGCCTGTGCAATCGCAGCTTCACTACTATTGTTATTCGTGCTAGCTAGATCTACACTCCCCTCGATGGTCCAGTAAGTCAGTATTATCCCCATTTTACAGAGAGGGAAACTGAGGCACAGGGAGGTTAAATGAACTGCTTAAGGTCATATAACAAATGAGTCATAGAGTTAGGAAAAGCACTTAGCAGACCAGATTTCCAGCCTTCTGCTTTAACCACTACACCCCCTGCCCCTAGAGCGAATGCCAAGGGTCTTTTGTTCACAAAGTGCTCTCGGAATTGAAGGTACTCGACACAATTTGCTGATTGAACAAGCGGCAGCTGTTTGACAGCAATCAGCAGCACCACACAACAGTTTAGGACAGGAAGTGAAGATGAATCTGTTATCCAGTTGAAACTGCAGGGGGAATTTAGAGAGGCAGAAGAGAATTAGGTGGAAATGGACTGTACTGAAAAAGATGAGGGAATTTTTAATGACAAATGCCCAGGACATTGGCTCTACCTATCCTCTGAAAGATGTCTCCAGCAGCACAGCGTCCCCTACCAGCACAATGAGACACTGGAACATCACCTACTGAATCATCACTACTATTTCCAGGATCACCTAGCTTTTCCCTTGAGGTCTCCCACTAAGTAGGGTGACCAGATGTCCCGATTTTATAGGGACAGTCCCGATTTTGGGGTCTTTTTCTTATATAGGCTCCTATTACCCCCCACCCCCGTCCCGATTTTTCACACTTGCTATCTGGTCACCCTACCCACTAAGTAGGATCTACTTGGCTTAAGAAATCTGACCTGATTACAACTTTGCTTTCCTGAACAGGGACAGATTTAAGCAGGGGTGTCAAAGAGTACAAGTTTCAGAGTAGCAGCCATGTTAGTCTGTATCCGCAAAAAGAACAGGAGTACTTGTGGCACCTTAGAGACTAACAAATTTATTAGAGCATAAGCTTTCGTGGGCTACAACCCACTTCTTCGGATGCATATATGCATATATATATATATATATATATA